GTCACTGTCTCTGCTCTGTCAAAGTCTCTGCTCTGTCAAAGTCTCTGCTCTGTCACTGTCTCTGCTCTGTCAAAGTCTCTGCTCTGTCTGTTTAAGGGGGACGGGAATCATAGGAGAAACCAAACACAATCACATGAGAGGTGAAATGACATTTGCTCCTGTAGCCATAGATAAAATAAGTGGTCTAACCAAAATAACGGAGAGTTGCTAGTCAACATTCTCTTGCCCAGAGACCCTGGACAGTCCAGGACCATCCCACTGTTGTGGGGATTTAATCCACTGTTGCTGGTTTCACCACTATTACTTTCAAATTCTTTGAACGGTAGTAAATCCCTCTATATAATTTGCTGTATAATACACTATGTCATGGTTACATATAATGGAAGCATACCCTAAATTTCTTATTCACTTCTCTGTGATGGTGTTTATCAGTGCATCTGCCACAACAATCCATAATGTTAAAATACAGGAGCCTGTTATGTGTGTGAGCCCAGTCATTTCCCCAGGTGTACCTGAAGGGGGCGGTGACTCCACTTTCGATGCGCTCCTGCAGAATGTAACACTCTCCTCCGCCACAGGAGCAGCCCCATCCCCGCCGAGCATCCTCAGGGCATCATCTGGTACCTCTGCCGTCAGGTCCTGCGTTTTTGGGGGCTCGATTCCCCCCATCCTGCACCTGACGGCTGAACCCCGATGATCCCCGTGATCTAGACCTCCAGCTGACCTGCAGGAGATCCATGCAATCAGACTATTGTTCATACAAGTACAAATGTGTATAAGTACTGTTGGTCTATTTAATCCCATTGTTTTTAAGAACTGACAATGTGCATGATTATATGTCTGCACTAATTTTGGCATTTACTGTATGTCTCTATGCAGATGCAGACTTACAGATGTGCTTCTTTCAGTAGAGGTTCCACTGTCTGGAGAGTCACCGTCAGCTGGGAGATCTCCTCACTGAGGTGGGGGAGCAAGGTGACCTCCCGACAGAGGAGAACCGGGTCCTGCACTTTCTTCAGCTGGTATTGTGCCGTAATTCTGAACCTTTTCAAGTGCAGGACCAGGACTCTGCAGAAGTACAAGGACAGATACATTACTGAACAACTTGCACATATAGTGTGTTCTTGTTATTGATTTCACTGGAAAAGCATCCAACTCACCAAGGCAGTGTGACGAATGCCCACGAGAGCACAGCCTGGCTCCCCCTGCAGGCAGCACATGTGAACTCCACCTCCATATCCTATAACAGCACACAGCAGTACTCAGTGATGAGCGCCTTTCACCAGGACCATTACAACACAACACCTCTAAGTATCAGTGCCAGCTAGTATAGGATGATAGTATCTGTGAGTGATCCTGTGTGTGCGGCACCACAGACACCTTGAAGTAGTGCTTCAGGAGGTCTTGCACAGACCAACGGGGAAGGACATCCAAGGACAGATTATTTAAATCATTTGTCCTGGAGGTCTGTGCTCCACAGCTTCCGGAAACCAAGGGAGGAAAGAGATACAAAGAAACTGAATATTTCTAATATGCCGAATCAATAACATCTGGACCTTCAATAAGAACTGGATCCCTAATGCAGGTCTATCAATAGTTTAGGTCTTTGTGGCAGCAGCACGCAAGGCATTCAGACAGGTGTGTAAAACCAGTGAAACCTGCAGCGTTTACCTGGTACAGGTCTTCCGACAGAGCATCTCAAAGGCCAGGTTTGCCTCGTCCGGACAGAGGTACATTGCTGTATTCTCCCTGGCCTGAACTGATACTCTCATGTCAGTTAACCAGGATATCAGGTAACTGAGAAACTCATGGGCATCCTAGATGACAGGAGATAAGCAGAAAATGTTTATATAGAGCAGTATAAGGTTTATATAGAACAGTATAAGGTGCTTATTTCATCACTGTGTTCTCCTTAGTCAACCACACTACCCTAAAGACTACAATCAGAACAGCTTAGTGATTCTGTATTCATGTGTAGAAGAATTTTCTTACACTCTGCTCGTCTTCAGAAAACTGGTCTGAAAACGTCCCAATCAAACTTCTGAATAACTGCTCCTTTTGCTTCGCTTCGTATGTTGAAGCAAGAAGATCAGATTCTATGGAGGTAATACTGAAGCAGCAGGGAATGATTTCTATGTTTCAATGTATTTATTAAACTTCATAGGAGCATTTTTAACACAATAACAGAAAAGTAAGGTTAAGTTAGGGTTAGGGTTAGAGTTAGGGTTAGGGTTAAGATCAAGCACACACCATGAGGAATTACTGTAGCTTAATCAGGGCAGAGGGGTCTCAATATTTCATAGCAGCCATCAGATCTTGTGACCGCAAACAAACAAACTGGGACTATGCAGTGAAAAACACTTCATTGTCATTGTACATTATAATACTGAAAAGACTTCATGATTCGTTGCGCCAGTCAACTTCAGCAGAGGAGTCACATTTCTTGATAGGAGCACCTTTCACATCAGAGTCGAGCCAAAGCGCTTTACATGCTTCACATCAGATCTTGTAAACTACATGGTTAATGCATCAGTATCGGCTAAACTTGAAAATCTTACTGTCATGTATTAATTCCTATGAAAAAATATTTTACGTTCTCAATAATGTTAATGGTTGTTTGTGAGGATGTTCTGTATACCTGAAATAGTTAAGATGGGGCAGAAATAGATACAGACTTCATTAATCTCAGAGGTGAAATTATGGTGCAAACAGTGTCTTCTTGGACCATGTTGAAGCATTAAAACCTCCAAATCATTTTCTCAATAAATTATACAAACTATTTGGAGGCAACTGTCAATTGCCATAAAAAGTCCATGACTGCCCCCTAGTGGATACTGCGCCCATGCACTGCTCAGCCCTTGAGCTCCAGCATCATTGATAATAAAAGATACTTTATTGACCCCCCCCAGGGAGATTCTCTCTTCAACTTCCCCATCTTGTTATTCGTGAGAGCAAGCAGGTCATCTAGGACAACTGCTGCACTCAGGTATCCGGGGTCTTAATGGCCGTGCTCCATGACCCATAGACGTGCCGAAACCAGGCTTGAACCAGCAACCTTCCAAATACAGGTACAGGGGCTTAGCCCACTGAGCCAATACAAAGTGCTCTGTAAAGTACGTGCATTCTCGGTAAGCTAAGGGTTGACATGCTAGCTGTGTTTGTGGAAACTTGCCCTTTAAGAAAAACTGCACTTGTGTTGTGGGTTCAGATCCCATTGATAGTAGAATAAGCATATCATTGTTGAGTCCTTCAGCAAGGCCCTCAACCCCAACTGCCGCAGCATGCTGGCTGACCTGCTTTCTAGCCCCAAGCTTGTTTGAATGTTTGAACAAATGTATCTGTACCTTTCAATGGTACCTTTCAAAAGTGTTTTCTGGTTTAGGGAAACTGACAGAATTCCACAGGCAAACCATCTTAATCTGCAAAAAGCTTGTGATTCTGAACACAAGGGGAAGTCGAATGTGGAATCATATGAGAAGCCCAGTCAAAAGTCTGATGAGAATCCTACTGAGAAACAGAACACAAAAATGCTCTGGTGGGATTTGATTTAATCGACAAGAGATCTGGCAAAAATTTGCCTTAAGAATCAAAACTCAATCTCCAGCCTTATAGAAAACAGAATGTTTCATTAGATAACCCATCTGAAGCAGAACCCAAACTGGCCCAGAGGTGGCGCCATCAGGAAGGGCATCACATTTCTGTGACAATCAGGAGACTCAGTGTGGCAATGAAATCCATCTTCACCAAAAGAAAAATAAAACTTTTCTGCTGTACAGCAGGAATAAGAGGTGTTGGGTGTCAGAGACTAAACCCTTTAATTAGTGATCTGACTTTACCTGGAGAACAAGGTGGAGTTAGGGTACATAGTCGGGGGGGGTTTATAGACACGCAGTATACTATGCATTTTCTCACACAGTGTTAGAGCCATAGTATACACTCACCTAAAGGATTATTAGGAACACCATACTAATACGGTGT